TCACAGTGAGAGCACGCCAGCGTCCATAGGAAAGCATTATGAAATCTTTCCTATGTGACCGGCCGAATGCGTGCACAGCTCTTGCCGCGCGTGCGCATACAGCCGACGGGGAGGAGAAGAGGAGGATCGGAGGAGGAGAGCTCTCCGCCCAGCGGTGGAAAAAGGTAAGTTTTACCCCTTTCCAGAGCCGGGCTGGAGGGGGTCCCTGAGGGTGGGGGCACCCTCAGGGCACTATAGTGCCAGGAAAACGAGTATGTTTTCCTGGCACTATAGTGGTCCTTTAAGGACCACTACAGACAACCTTAGATCATCAGCTCAATGAAGTTGTCTGGGTGCTTGTGTCCCTCTAGTTTTAACCCTGCAGCTGAAAACATAGCAGTTTCAGAGAAACTGCCATGTTTCACTGAGGGTTAATCCAGCCTCTAGTGGCTGTCTCACTGACAGCAGCTAGAGGAGCACACTGAACGTCCATAGGAAAGCATTGTGTAATGCTTTCCTATGGGCGGTTTGAATGCGTGCGCGGTCGCATTCGGAGCTGAGAGGCTGAGGGATCCTCAGCGCCAAGGGAGTCCGGCGCTGGAGAAAGGTAAGTGCTGAAGACACACACACTCTCACTTACAGACGCATACACACTAGCTAACAGACACACACATTTACTGACAGAGATACAGTCAGCGACAGACATACATACACACTCACTTACAAAACATACACTCTCATTGACAAACACACACTCACTAACAGACATCAAACAGACTCACTAACACACACACACTCAGTAAGACACACACAGTAACACACTCACTGACACTCACTAGCAGACACACACACTAACACACTAACACTCACTAGCAGACACACACTAACACTCACTCTTACACTCACTCTAACACTCACTCTAACACTCACACACACTAACACACACTAACACCCACTCACACTAACACACACACACTAACACACACACTAACACTCACACACACTAACACTCACTCTAACACTCACACTCACACACACACACACACACACTAACACATGATTTTTATTTTTTTTTAATATAATCCCCCCAGCCTCCTTACCTTTTGGAGTGCTGGGGGGGATTATTCCCTGGGGTCCAGTGGGGCTCCTGGGCAGGTGGCCGGTCGGGCAGGCAGGCGGGCGCGCGAGGGAGCACTCAGTGCTTCCTCTTCAGCTCCCTCGCGCGCCGCGTAGGGATGCCGGCGCCGGAAGATGACGTCATCTTCCGGCTCCGGAATCAGTGCGGTGCGCGAGGGAGCTGAAGAGGAAGCAGTGAGTGCTCCCTCGCGCGCCCGCCTGCCTGCCCGACCAGCCACCCGGGGTCAGGAGGGCCAGCCTCGGGGGGCCCTGGGGTGGCCGGCTCCTGGGCCCCCCAGGGGAAGAGGCTGGCCCTGGGCGTACATACCGGGTCGCAGGGGCGGCCGGGCCCCCTTGTGGGCCGGGCCCGGTCGCAGTCGCGACCCCTGCGACCCTGGTATGTACGCCAGTGTGCGCAACAATCTTTTGCACTCACTAGCACTCATTCTAGGGGAGACACCCTAAGAGCGCTTTTATCATCTACATCTTGTGAGTGCAAAAGATTGTTGCGCATATAATATTGTATCTTTAACAATATCACACTATGTTCTGTTTTATATTCCTTCTGTAGATTTACACAGCCATATCCCGAATCTTCTTTTTTGGTTTATATTATGCATGATACAGGTTGCTCGTTTGGGTAGCGACCTAGGGAGGCTGTTACACATCTTTATAAGCTAAGTATTATTGCTTTTTAATTTGTCATTTTGTTTGTATATTGTTTAAGTTATACTTTTAAAGTTATAAGAATTGTATAAAAATTTTCCTGCCTGTGATAATTACATTAGCCCATTGTGTACAGTGATTCTATCACAGGCAGAGGGGAGGATTTTGCTGGAATGAATGGGAGTGTTTGCCTGTATTGTACATTGTAGATTGGCTGTTCCACAAGGCCACGTGGGTGGTAACCTTGTGGAAAAACCTGCATAAAAGAAAGTCCTTTGGTACTCATTAAACAGATATTCTTGACCCTCAACACTATGTCTTGTCTCGTGATTGGAGGGGACAGCTATATTCACACTGGGGATTGCTATACTTGTATGCTCCCTTGACCTTTAATCACTAAGATCTTCTAAGAGTTGTTCCTGATACGCTCTCCTGGAGGAGAGGTGTCCCCACACAGTCCTGGATGTCGGAGGTTCATACAGGGTGGAAGGAAGAGGTCTTTCCCACATGGTCCTGGAAGACAGTAGGTGATCCAGGGTGGAAGGAAGACGGCAAGACTACCAGTTAAGCTAAGGCTGTTGTGGAGTCTGCAGTGGTTGTGGCGTCCGGTGTTCCGTCACACCAATAGTCTTATCACTAGTCCTCCAACAAACCATCCACAGAAAAGCCACTGCTCCACCAACCACTCATCCACATATTAGTCAGACCTGTGGCCAGACCCACGACGGGCCTGCAACAAGTTGGTTGGACCCCGTTGAGTCCACAGTCCAAATCCTTGGGGTCCAATGTGACTGGACAAGTGGGGAGGGCACATGTGGGTATGGCACTCAGTGACGGCATTCCGTTACACATCTCCCCCTTGTCCACCTCTGACAGCCACAGCATGATCCAAACGGATCAGCTCACTGCTGTCTGGAGTGGACACATAGTCGGTGAGTGCCATGCCCGCAACAGCACTTGTCCTCGACCAGCCCCTACAGTTCTGGGGTCTGGCCGGCTTTGCACCCTGCACCCTCCTAAGACGCCTTTAGCCAGGGAGGCCGGCCAATCCAGGCGTTGGTACACAGGGGTCTCTGAGCCCGTAAACCCCCCACCCAAACAAGAGTGCTTTCCCAGCCACTCCATCACCTGTGTCTCTGCCATCTTCCCAGCTGCCTGATGATGATGGGAGTTGTCTGCTAGGAAGTATACATCCCACCACTGCCAACCAGTTGTAGAGCACCACGGCTAACCTGACCGGTTACCTCTGCTAATACCTTCCTTCAGCCTCTCTGGAACCCTTAAAACAAGCAGGCATCCCTTTCCCACTGTAACTGGACGAGACACAGCTCTGGGAGTACAACTGAAAATTAACTGCCGTTTATTTTGTCACACATGGCTTTACAGACACAGACCCCTACATGGGGTCTCCAACACAATACACCAGGGGCTTCTATCCCAAAAATCTGTTGGGGGATTGAGGAGGTTAAACTGGGTTGGCAGTGCCCTTGAGACAATCCCCTGCTACGACAGGAAGAGGAAAGGGAAGGGGGAGATGCACAGACAAGCAATACATTCAGAAAAGGAAGGGGGAGAGGCACAGACAAACAATACATTTTACTTAACTATACTGTACTAGATTTATAGAGCTGCCCCCCTCCCACCTCCCTCACTTCCCTGATCTGTAGGCTGCCCCCCCCATTCCTCACTTCCTTGATCTATAGGCTTTCCCCAATGCCTCACTTCCCTGATCTATAGTCTGCCCCCATCCCTCACTTACCTGATCTGTAGGCTGTCTCTGCAGTCTGGGAGTTGCTGGCTGCATGTGCTGCTCCCCTAAGATGTAGCCTCCTATCCCTGTCTCTCTCCATACACAGCACAGATCAGGTAAGCCTATAGATCAGGTAAGTGAGGCATGGGAAGGGGGGGAGAGAAAGCCTATAGATCAGGTAAGTGAGGGATGGGGGGAGAGACAGCCTATAGATCAGGTAAGTGAGGGATGGCAGGGAGAGACAGCCTATAGACCAGGTAATTGAGGCATGGGAAGGGGGGGAGAGAAAGCATATAGATCAGGTAAGTGAGGGATGGGGGGAGGCAGCCTATAGATCAGGTAAGTGAAGGATGGGGGAGACAGCTTACAGGAGGGGTCAGCAAGGAACAGGAAGGTAAAGTAAGAGAAGGAACAGAAATGAGCAGGAATGGCCAGCAAGAAATAGGAAGGGGCAGCAAGGAGTAGGAAGGGTCTGCAAGAAGCACGAAGAGTAAAGTAGTAGAAGGAGCACAAAGGAACAGAAATGAGCAGGAAGGGGCAGCAAGAAGCAGGAAGGGTCTGCAAGGCGCACAAAGGGTCTGCAAGGAGAAGGAAGGGTCAATGTAGCGGTTACCCCGGTGAGTAGAGGGGTTCCCACCACTGGAGGGAGTCCTTCTCCCAATGAATGAGGTGTATTCTCAGCATCCAGCAGTTATCCAAGTTGAGAAGCTCTTAAAAGAGCTAGTGTTATAGCGGTATAGCAGTTTCCTCCAATAAGAGACAAGACTCTAGATTGAGGGTGAAGTAGAACTGTTTTAATGATCACACAAGCCTTTCTTTTATACAAGTTTTCCCACAAGGTTACCACCCACGTGGACCTTGTTGGGCACTGAAAATACAAACTTAACCAATAGCATACAATCACACAGTTACACAATCCCATTCATTACTAAATTCATTGTAAATTCCTCCCCCCGATTGGAAGATAATTGAGTTAATTGCTGTATCAACTCAATTATCCCCAAGCGAAAAATATACTTTTTTAACCATTTTTATAACTTCAAAACTATACATGCAATTCCAATAAAAGTTACTGTAACGGATCACCCTGTACTCCGACCGAGTACCTTCCGTTGATGGATGCTTCCTAGCTTGCACCGAGGACCATAACCACCGCACCGGACACCACAACCACCACAGACTCCCCAACTGCCGTAGCTTAACTGGAGTCTCACCGTTTTCCTTCCACCCTGGATCAGCTTCTGTCCTCCAGGACCGTGTGGGGAAAGACCTCTCCTCCAGGAGAGCGTATCAGGAACAGCTCTTAAAAGAGCTACGTGATTAAAGCTCAAAGGAGTATGCAGAGCATAGCAATCCCCAGTGTGAGTATAGCTGTCCCCTCCAATCACGAGACAAGACTACGTGTTGAGGGTCAAGAAGATCTCTTTTAATCAGCCATCTTTTATGCAGGTTTTACACATACAGTACCGCCCACGGGGTTTTGTAAAACAACCAATAAAACACGTAATATACAGTAAAACACTCCCATTCATTCCCACAAAATCCTCCCCTCTGCCTGTGATATAATTACTGTACACAATGGGTTAATGTAATTATCACAGGCAGGAAAAATATACTTTTTACACATGAACTGTAACTTTAAAACTATACATCCAATCTCCATACTTCAAATATGAACACTCTCAAAAATCATACAAATCCCTCCAGTAGATAAAAAGGAAGTCGGAAGTCCTTTGTGAACGACCGCAAGAACATTTTCCTGCCCAAAACAGTTCCATAGATTTGGGCTGTGCGGTCGGTCTATTTTACACTGAAAAATGACCAAGTCCCATTCAAATGTGCATTCGAATTGCCGAATGGGACTTAGACACTGCAGCTGAAAACTGAGTGGAGAAGAAGGTAAGGGTCAGCGGTGTTCGTGCAATTGAGTAGCTGAAAACAGTTCCATAGATTTGGCTGCACACACCGTTGTCCGAGGCCTGTGTCCATCTGGTCCCAGGACAAAGAGGGTCGCACTGCCAGCCGCTGATGCAATTGTTCGTCGTATCTC